CCTCTGCTGCTTGCCTGGGCGTTCCCCTCGGGGCCGGTGGTCAGTGCCCGCTCCCCGCAGCCTGGCCCCCGTCTCTCCACACCCGGCAGATCAGACGGCTCGGCCCGCCCTTTGGGCCACTCAAGAGCCTCTGCTGCTTCCCAAGGGAGGGGTCACCTCCACTAGCCACAGCAGCTGCGCGGGCGCCCAGGTCCGAGACGGCACCTCCTGGTGCTGAGCCCGGCGGCTGGGGCCGCCTGCCCGAGAGCAGCCGGTGTGTGCAGGTAGAGCCAAGTGGGGTATTTACCAAGCAAGCTCCCTATAGGCATGAGCCTCAGCCACAGCAGCTGGGAGCATCTGCTTTCCGGCACTCTCCAGCCTCAGCCGCCGTGCCTAGCCTGACCCGCAGCTGCGTCCGCTCGCTTCTCCACTCCCCCGCCCAGCTGAGACCACCCGAGGTTGCTTGGCAGCCAGGAACCCTCCAGTCTGGCTCGTGGCCTCCTGGACAGGCACGACGCCTTGCTCCCAGCCCAGGCTTTTCCCAGCTCTTTCTGCAGCCCGAAGATGAAGCAACTGACTCGCGATCCGCACTCCCAGCCTGCAGCCCCTTCCGGAGGAACCCAGGCTCCCCGCACAAGCTGGGGCCTAGGGGGAACCTGGCTTTCAGCAGAGCCAGAGGGTCTTTCACCACCGTTTTACTCCAGCCTCTGGCCGCACAGCCGTCTGCTCCCCGCGCCGCCCTGCGCTGCACAGGGTTGGGCGAGCCAACAGCTCGACTCCTCCATGGCGAGGCCCAATAGCCGCTGCTTCAAGCCCAGCCCACGGCGGGAGCGCCACTTTGACTAACGGCTGCTCCATTGCAGGCATGCGGACGGCGCTGTGCACAGAGCTCTGCAGACCGCCCCATGGCTCGTCGAGCCAGGTCTTCACTAACGCTGCAGAATTACTGGCCAGTCTCCGGCCGGGCCACAGACCTCTTCAGGGTGCTCCTGACACCCCCAAACAGCAACAGTTGGGACCTTGGGGTTTTTGCCTTTTCGTGTTGCGTGGCGTCCCATCGTTACGCCAGGTCCTGCTCTGCTCCGGCACAACGGAGCCCGCGGATGGGCCAGGGAGAAGACAGCGGAGAACTGTTTTTCCTGATGTTTCATTTTAACTTCTCCTCTTGGTCCGTCCCCTGCAGGGTAAGGCCTGCTCCCAGCGCCCAGAGGTTTCTGTCAGCCCAGGCAGAGCAGCGCAGCAGGGAACTTGCCCTAAGGCCTGCCGAGTGCTGTGGGTTGTGGAGGTTCAGCTTCGGGGCCTCTCCCAGGGCCTGCCTGAGAGCGGCTCTCGATCTGCCAGCAGACCTCTGCTGAACGGGACAGGGAATGGCCCGCAGCAGCCGGCGCTGTGGCTGGGAGTGGTCCGGTCTAGCGGCGAGGGGCGCGCTCGGGGCTGTGGGGTTTCTGCGAGGGGAGGAAGGACTCAGACCTGAGGGGAAGGAGATGGGGAAGGCAGTGCTCCAGCCCGGGCTGCTGCTGCCAGGCCTGTCGGCTCGTCTCCTGGCAGTGGGGTGAGGTTTGTGCGGTTGCTGGCAGGGATGGGGCAGCGTTTGCCGGCGGAGCGCCGCATTTTACACAGGCACAGATGGAGAGAGGTGCGTGAATGCAGCAAGCGGCAGAGACGGCGACTGAGCTGGTCTGGGACTATCCCTTGTGCTGGGCAGCAGCCAGCGGCCTGCGGCACTTGGATCGCAGAAAACGGACGCCATGCCAGTGGCGCGGGGTTGCCTGTCCGTGGGGCCGTTCCTCCTCGGAGCTAGTGCCGGTGGCTGCCCGTCCTCCCGCGGGCTCTCCCAGCGACGCTCTGGGGCTCCGCCAGGCTGACGTCCTCTCACCATGCTGGGACCTGTCGGCTTCACACGGTAACCTCGGCCGGGCTGGCTGGGGCAGCGCTCGCAGCGGGGGCTGATGGATTCCCAGCGGTAGCAGCAGGGACCAGCACTGGGGTTTATCCTCTGCAGCCGGCCAGATGAGACACGTGGCTGCTTCTCTCAGCTGGGCTCCCGCCTGATGCTCCACCTGGGCTAGAAGCTGGAGCTGAGGGAGTGTGAGCAGCCTGCTCCTTCCAGGGCCAGCTGCCGAGGTTGCTGTTAGTGCTGCGGGGGCTGATGGATTCCCAGCGGTAGCAGCAGGGACCAGCACTGGGGTTTATCCTCTGCAGCCGGCCAGATGAGACACGTGGCTGCTTCTCTCAGCTGGGCTCCCGCCTGATGCTCCACCTGGGCTAGAAGCTGGAGCTGAGGGAGTGTGAGCAGCCTGCTCCTTCCAGGGCCAGCTGCCGAGGTTGCTGTTAGTGCTGCCGGCTGCTGAGCCGCTGCACCCGCGGGGCTCCGTTTTCGCCTGT